CCCTCTCCCACATGCCGATGAGGGGCTGATCCCTCCGCCCCACGTGCCATGAGGGGCCGATGGCCCTACCCCACCTGGTGAAGCGGGGCCGATTCCCTCCTACACACGCGCCGATGAGGAGCCGATCTACCTCATCTCACGTGCCGACAGGGGGCCGATCCCTGCCCCACCAAGTGCCGAGGAGGGGCTCATCCCTCCTAGGGTTACCATATGTCCAGGTTTCCCGGACATGTCCAGCTTTTGGGTCTTTAAATAGCTGTCCAGGGGCTAATTTGTAAAAAGCTAAAAATGTCCAGGATTTCCCCCCGGACGGCTATTTAAAGACCCAAAAGCGCTGACAGGGCAGCCGCGCTGGGGGAACCGCGGCAAGCCGGTGCCGCTCACCTTTCCTCCCTGGGCCCTGGGGCATCGCGCAGCTTAGAGCTCCCAGTGTGGTGGTGTCAGCCCACGGGGCCCGCCGCCCGGCCGCCCGGAGCCTGCAGAGCGCAGCCCTGCCCCTGCCCCGGCACACAGAGAGGCAGCGAGGAGGTCTCGCTCCCCTGCGTGCTGCAGCGGGGCAGGGCTTGTAGACTCGGGCAGAGAGAGACACACACACACCCCCGCCGCCCCTACCCCTCTCCCCTTGACCCAACCCAACCATAGGAAGGAGCCAGAGGGACTGGGAGGGACCTGCCTGCTGGATGCTTCCTGGGAGCCGCTCCAGGTAAGCACTGCTGGGCTCCCCTGGCTCCCCTCAGCCCCACTGCCCTACTCCCCCCCATCCCAGTCCTGTCCCCCTCAGTTCCTCCACCCTGCTTCCCCCATCCATCCCCACACACCCACCGATTCCCTCGACCTCCCTCCCCCAAATCCCACTGCCTGGACTCACCCCCGTCCCACTCAGCATGAAAAAGAAGCAATGGGCTTAAATTGTAGCAAGGGAGATTTAGGTTAGACATTAGGAAAAACTTCCTAACTATAAAGGTAGTTAAGCACTGGACAAATTACCTAGAGAGGTTATGGAATAGCAGTCACTGGAGTTTTTTAAGAGGTTAGACAAACACCTGTCAAGGATGGTCTAGTTGTTATTATTCAGTCCTGCCTCAGTGCAGGGGTTTGACTAGATGACTTGTTGATGTCCCTTCCAGTCCTACATTTCTGTGATTCACACTGAATTGCCTTGTGCCACTGTCTAGTAGTAGTGGCACACAGTTCTCTGACATGCAGGTTTATAAAATTGTAGTTAATATACAGTTTAGAGTTTAGCAATTTTAAAGCTCTGCATGTTCAGACCAACTGAGCTGAAAATTGTGAGCTTGTATTCAAAACGATTAAGATGTGGGCTGAAATAAAATCAGCGTGAATTGCTCAACAATATCAATGGAATCAGCATTGCACTGCTATCTATTGTAAAACATTACAGTGAAATCTTGCAAGTATTCCATAGCACACCGCCTTGCCCAAGTGGTAACTAAGCAGAACATCTTCCCGTTTCAACATTCTTAACTTGTATCCCTCCTAGAATTGGTTTTTTTTAAACACTGAATGCTGCTAAGTTGTGAGTTTTAACAGGTTTTTTTTCTTTTAAACCACAGCACTGAATGTTATTCTAAAATTGTTTTCCAAATAGTCTTAAACTCCCAGTTGATCCCCCGCTGATGTTCATTGTGAAAAGTACCGCAGGTCTAATAATCTAAACATCCCATCTAAGAAACTGAGCAGAGCCCCCGTGGGAGCCTCAGGGACATCACACGACTCTCCCAGTGGGTGGGTTGACAGCTTCTCAGTCTGGTCTGTCATCTCTGTAGTTGGGTGGGGCTCCCCCGGCCCATTGGGGCTCTCACCTTCTCCGTGCAGGGATGAGCAGGATTTGGGGAGGGGGGGAATCTCAAACCCTAATAATAATAATGCCTCCCCCCTTCTCATCAGTAAAGCACACAAAGCACTTTGCGAAGGGGGTCAGGCTCATAAGCCACATTTTATAGATGGGGAAACTGAGGCACGGGGCATTGCTATGACTTGCCCAAGGTCACATAGCTGGAATAGAACACTGGTCGCCTAAGGCTTAGTCCCGTACTTTCTCTACTAGTCCATGCTGTCTCAGAAGGTGCCTAGCACACACCAGATCTCATCTGGTGGGGGTAGGGGGCCCAGGTCATGGTGGATACTCACGATAGAGGAGGACCAAGGTCATCAGGAGCAGTTTGATAGCCATGATGATCAGGGTGGGGATCACCAGCTGCCGGTTCGTGAGAGTGGCGATCTGGAAAGGGGGGAAATGGCTCTGATAACCCTGTCCTGACCACACCTTAGATCTTACCCCACCTCCACCCCCAGCACTGAATGGGACACAATTTTGATCAAGCCTGACAATAATTAAAGGCGCAGGGATCTGTGTGTAGCATCTTCAGCTAAAAGAGCTTTTCTCCCCGCTGCGTCTCAGGCATTTGAGTTAAATGGACATCCGCAAACATGAAAAGGATGAAGCCAAAGGACCAAACTCTGCTCCCAGTTACACCCGTGTAAATCTAGACTGAAGGCAACAGTGCGACTCAGGAGTCACACGGGTGTAAATGGGAGCAGACGTTGGGTCAAGTAGTTTCCAAACCTTTGGAGGAAAATAATCACGTCGCCTGCCAGGCAGTGAATTTTCCCCTGCACACGGTGTGACGCTGTCAGTCCTGCCAGCTCCCCAGTCACCTCCGGGGCTTCCAGGGATGGCAGGCTAGGTGAGACCCCCCATTTCTGATCTGTTTTTGAAAAGAGGAAAAACTAAACTGCTTTTTGAACTTTCTTCCAACACCACAAAGGAGCAAAAAGGGAAGGAAACTGACTGCCATGCACAGAAACAAGCAACACACAGAGCAGCAGGTTCCTCATTAGCCAGCAAAGGAGCTGGTTTGTCTCACCACGGAGAGGGGACAGACCCCAGCCCGTGTTCCTGGGTCATCCTGGTCCTGCTGAGGTTCCCCAGGTGGGCTGGGCATCTGCTCTGGGTCCCCTCAGATCTCTCAGTCGTGCAGGCGTCTTCCCCTTTGGGGCCAAGGGTAGCGGGCTGGGTGGGTGCCCCGTGTGCTCTGCTGTTAGCTCCCGCTGGGCTTCCTGCCCCATAAGGCAGTGTCTTATACACGCAGTGACTCAGGTGCTCCCGTGGTGCCGCCTGCGTGGGCAATGTCAGAGCACCGCCCAACACCCTGCCTCCTGCGCAGGGCGGTGGTGACCCTGAGTGAGTCACGCCTTCAAAGAGGGAAGAGCCCTGCTAGGTCCCATCTGGTCCATCGTCCCAGAGCAGCTCTGTTCTCCCCAGGCTAGTTTTAAAGATAACATAACCGGGTGGGTTGTCAGGATCAAACCCTGGACTTGAAGCAGCGATACTCAGACCTCAGGGGTTCAGAAGCCAAATTAGCAATCAGCATTGACCAAGAGAGTCACAGTAGGGTGAATTCATTGTTTCATTTACTATAGGACTCTGTGATCATATTTAAACAGTCCGTCCGTTTTATACATATATGTATTCTCACAACACAGTGACTGACCAAGTATCACTGTTTTATCAACTACAATTGGTTAATTACATAGTAAAAGCATCCCGGTAAGTTAATAGCTTAGATTGGTTAATAATTATGGAAGCAAGGTCTGAAGCAGCGTGTGATGAGCTGCACGGGGTGGGGAGGAGGTTTCAGGGCCAGACGGTCTTTACATAGATACCGCTGCTCGGCCTGGGTATCCAGCAGACAGAGCTGCGTTGCCCACGTGATCCGTTTTGGCGGGTGCTGGGTTAAAAATCACTTTAGGACTCAGGGATTGAAATGTTGTTATCCTGATGGTGGGAGGAACGGGCAGCAGAACTGTGCTTAGCTGGCCCTGACTGACGGGGTCTCCCTCAGCCGAACTGAGCTCACAATGCACGGGGTTCGGATGCCGGAGCCCAGTGGGGAGGGAGAAGGGCCAGGCCGGGCCAGGCCAGTTCAGTTTAAAGATAGAGGTACCTAGACTCCATCAGGTCCAAGGGCTGCTTAGATCTGCTGCGGGACAGCATTTCTGTGGAAGAGGCGGCTCGGCCTGCACTGGCGGTGAGGTTCTCCCGCTGAGGTCACAGTAGGCAGGAGACAGCAGAAGGGGACGGCACAGGGCCAGAGGCGACGGAGCAGAGGATGGCGCAGTGCGGTGACCGGTGACACGAACAACAGCAGCGGAGGGAACGACACACAGCAGCAGGCAGTGAAGGCGTTGCTCGATGTGTCCTCCCCAGTGTGAACTCACGTGAAGGCACCACTGGACTCTGGGTCTTCACAGACCAAGGACAGCAGCTGTGAGTGGGGTGTGGCGGACGGAGAGGGGAATGCATGTTAAAGGGACATTTGTTTGTCGGACTTTCACACCACAGTGAAAAATGGAGGCAAAGGACACGGCCCAATGTCCTCTGGGGTGGGAGTTTTGCTCATGGTCAGATGTGTTCGAATCACGGTTGTGGGTTTCCCCCAATTAATGCCGGGTTCCTTCCCCATTTTTATTAAATGATTTCTCTGCCACGCACAGATTCGGTGCTTGTGAAAGGGGAAGCGTTGCCTCTTACAGGCACTCGTGGAGATTGATTTTCCCAGATTACTGGGTGTAGGCTGTGGATATTAAACCCGGCCCTGGTGGCTGCCGACTCCAGCTGGCAGAAGGGCACAATTCGATCACACCGTGTTTTATATCACGTGTTGCAAAGAGACGCAGGAGACGCATTAAAGAGCCTCGGTCTGAATAAGGGTTGCCAGGTGTCTGGTTTTCAACCGGAAAGGCCGGTCGCAAAGGGAACCTGGCAGTGTCCGGCCAGCAGCGCTGACTAGCCACTGACAGTCCAGTTCATCGCAATAAGCAGCCACCACCACTGGGGGCAGGACGAGCAGAAGCTGCTGAAACCTGGAGACGCATATGGGAACGGGGGAGCGGGGTACTGGCGGCTCCCCCGTCCTGCCCCAGTCACTCCCTGACCGCAACTTCCCCTCCCTCATCCTGTCCCACTCACCTCCCGACTGCAGCTTCCCCTCCCCCAGCCTGCCCCACTCACCCCCAACCCCAGAATGCAGC